TTGGAGAACAAGATATGGACATTGCATTCTGTAAATCTCTCATGCTGATGTGTATTTTTTCCTGGGCAAGATTTCCTGGGAGTATTGCTGCACTCTGTACAACAGGAGCATGGTGGGAAACCAGCGTCCAGCATATTTATATACATTTTGACACTCATTTCCCCAAGCTTGTATACAATGCTCATTAATATATTCCCTTTCAGGAAGCAGCTTCCTTAAATGTCTTTGTTTCTTGGTACATATTTTTGGAGCAGAGAATTACAGTACACAGAAGGGTGGCAAAAAGCAAAGAATATTTGCACCCTAACTCATTCATTGATTCATGAAGTATGAATTTGTCTCCAGTAGGGGGGCTCCCTTTATTTTATCACCCCCAAAACAATGCTTCCCCACTCTACCACATGGACAGATATGTTAATATTGAGTTTGGCAACCACTTTAAGAACTTGTTCCAGGACAACTATGTAAAAAATGGCTGAATTACATAATAAAAGTAATGGATGTAATCAGGTTTACCTGGCTATGGCTGTTGTCCCCATACCGACCCATAAGGTTGACTCGATGACAGTTTTTGTACCAGAATGCCCCTTTGTATGATAAGGCACAGTTTGTGATGGCTGAGTCATTGTCCTTGTCAAAGGTTGAGAAGGCTCGTCCATTGTGGTAAGTCATGGAATCACCTATGTGATGGAAAGAGGAGATGGGAGAAGTCCTTCAATCATTCTTGACACACTTGAGTCTTTGCTGGTGGGAGAGGAAGAAAGACCATTCCCCAAAGGATAATCCTTAAGGCGACGAAGCTTAAATCCAAAGGAAATGAACCGTCCCTTTCAATTGGTTTGCCAAATTAATCTGAGAGGTCTCAGATCAAATGGGGCACTTTGAATTGATTCAGAGAACCAGTGGACGTTTCTCCAAACTTCCATTGAATGGATTTGATCATTGGAATTTACTGTTTAAATGAAACTGATGGGACAATTTGAATCAAATTGATTGTGAATTGAATTGCAAATTAGAAATGTTCATTATTTACACTTGCTACTCTCTCATTATTAATTGTTCATAAAATTCATTATTGATCATCCATAGTGCAATTCTTAATAATTAGCCGACGTTTGAGAAAAGGCAGGGTATAAATGACAAGAGTCATACAATTAGGGTGATTATTTTCAGAACAAGAGAGAGAAGTACGTAGCTGCTAATCCTTCTTTTCACAAAATTAACAAACTGATCTACCTGCAGTGCCACTGTAACCATCTACTTTCATCCGATAGCGCGTCCTGGCATCGCCCACAGTAAACTTATCGTAGAGCGCATAAGCAGTCTCTCCGTGATCACGCAGGTCCACCCTCAACTCATACTGGCCTTGGGAGGTGATTTTGTGAAGTTTCTCCAGCCCTACAAAGACAAAGAGCAATCCAATAAATGGGTGGATTGTCTGCTAGCCATCTTTACGTCTCTTGTCTTCAGCCATAATGCTGAAAGGGTTTTAGGAAAACACGTTCAACTCAAACATTCAAATATCAGACAGTTTTTTTAAAAAATGCAAAATCTACATCCGAATGGACTGACTTTCCCTACTTCCACCGATGAAATGCATGAAAAACCATGGAATAATTTTTGTGTTTAAGTGCATCACATTTAACAAACGTTGCATCTCTGTCCATTGATCTTCATCGAAGCTGGTTCAGACAGACCAACGGAACTTTTTCTCAGTTTATAAGGGGCCCGCCAATGTTTTCAACTTTATGTGTTATGGATTCTAGTCTGCACAGCCATAGGTCAGAGATCAGTGAAACAGCCCCACCCTCAACTGAAAAGGCTGGCAATGTGACTTTGGAAACATATCTGGATAACATCATTAACCTAGCACAAAGTAAGGCTTGGGAAAGTGACACCATGGTGGAAAATCATACTGGATGTTACCCTTCTAGTGAAGTGCTCAGCAGTCTGAAGTGCTGTACATTCATTTAGAGGAACCAATGAATCTTGGTTAACTAAATAAACTTTGTAACCACCTACCTAGCCAGAATTCATTGTTGGGATCTCCAAAACCATTCTCATAAGTTCTCCAATTCTGGTAGAAGTCTACTTTGCCATTCTGCCTTCTCAAAAACACCTGGGGAAATGCCAATGAAAGCATGGTCATTTTAGAGGATTGTCATTTCTGAACAGGACACTGGCAAGCACAAGTTACTTATCCTTCCTTAACATGATTTGCCCTCTAAAGCCTTGTGGGTGATTGGGAAAGACACCCAAGACACTTTCCTTTAACTGGAGATACTGTGGATCAGAAGAAGACCTCCCCCATGCTAAATCTCCTTTCAACCCTATAGAAAGCTTACTTGGAACTGGTCATGAAAAGAACCCATTATGAATGGAGTTAACTCATCACTTCATATGGTCTCTCTAGGGATAGAAAGCTTTATATTGTGGGACTATAAAACCCATCATCACTGAGTATTGACCACAATGATCGGAGATGATAGGAGTTGGAGTCTGACCACATCTGGAAAAAAGGTTCTGCATCCCCCATCCTCTTCCATGCTGAATGGGGGCAGCTCCCTGGTCATGCAGAAAGGAATAATTTCCAGCATTTCTAATTCACGATGCTGAAAAGTGAACAAAGACCTTTTTGCATGGAAAACAGGTGCCAGGCACTGACAGGTTCACTGGCCAGGTTGCTAAGGGGACTGTTCCAAACTGCTGGCAAGTAGAGCGCTGAGAGTGCTCTTACAAATTAGGTACATAGTTTCACTAGGTAGTGAGGCTAAGCCTTGTTTGCATGGGAAACAGGGGCAAAGCACCCCGAAATTTATTGGTCAGCTTTCCAGAGTCAACCCTCCCAGCCCAGTGGTGAGCAGAAAACCCAGTCCTACATAAACACTCTACTATGCAGGTTTCATACACCGCATTTAGAGCAACTAAAGAATAGCAGGAGTTCCTCTGAAGCATGGGAGAAGCTTCTGGCATTTCTTAGGCTCTCCACGCACAGGAACGTTAAGAAGGGAAGAAAAGGCAAAAAGAGAAATATGTACAATCCATCCGCCTCCATCAGAAGTCATGTCGCAATACACTTCAGCGGGCTGAGACTGATTGCCGTTGAAATAAATTGAATAGAGTCCAGAAGCAGTTTCTCCATTCAGCAGGGCTTGGGAGCAGTCTTTGGGGTAAGGGTAGAGAAGTCCAGCTGCAGAGAAGGGAAGGAAGGTCAGGACATGTTGCAAAGATGCAAATCTGCACCGTCATCATCATCACCATCACCACCATTATCATCACCATGATCTCCTTTTCCTCCTGAATGCGGCTCTGCTCCCTTCACACTTTTTTTTTGGGGGGGGGGGGGGTTAATACTGTTAGGGTGGGAGGGTTTTTAAATTTTTTTTTTTAGAAAGCTAGACATGGGGGCTGCAGTCCAATGTGTGGGTGTGGAATGGTATTCTGTCTCTCCCAACTATTCTGGTTTCTTTGACTCTTCTCCAAGCACCCTCTGGCCTTTTGCAAGATTGTGTTATGCTTCGTTGTCTTTTTGCAAACAACGCTCTATCGTTCCAGGTCTGTCCCAATGGGGAAATGAGAGGAATTGCATTGCATAATGTCTGTCTCTATCTCCTACGGCCACAAAATCATGGTCCCTACAACCCCCACCCCCCCACATCCCTCTTCTTCATATCCTGTCAGTGCTTTGTGAAAAAGCAATTTCATTTCATTTCATCATTTTTTATCTCTTTTCTTCCTTTTCGGTTTTCAATTTACACCGCAAAAGGATATGGTCAAACAGAGTTGACCTCTACTGGAAGCTCTGCACGTTCCCCATGCAGCCACCCCTGTAACTACATTGAGGGGAATATGGATAAGCGCTTCTTTGGAAATACATCTCCCTTACTTGTGGTGAACATGGTTTGGATAAAGTTGCTCTTTAGCGTTTGGTGCAATGCCTGCAGCTTTGCCTTGTATTGAGTGGATGAGCTCAGGTCCACCAGGCTGTAAGAGGTGGACTCAGGCCCCAGGACCACTTCCTGCAAGAGAATTGAAAATAGAAGGCCATGAAAGACTGCAGTTGGACACCCTTGCTAAATAATTCATACTACTTTAAGAAAACAGTTTCAAACACTGATGAAATCAGGGTTGTAATTTTCTCCCAGCTTTGCTTCACGCCCAGTTTTGGAACTGGAACAGTGCTGGTTCAAAAATTTCACATGCAGATACCGTGTCTAAAATGCCTCTGGTGTGCCTGATATAGTCACTTAGAAGCATGGCATGTTTGAAGCTAATCAAATACATAGATGCACCCCTACGAAGATGACTGCGTTGAATCAACAGATGGACTGTTTTCCAGCAGACTGTAACCTCTTACAAGTCCTTCCAAAATAAAGATGCCCTTGAGCTGAGTTCAACTTCCATTGATTGCATCTATGCAGCTTTTCGTGGCAGTGTTATGGAAGTGTCATTGGCTTCTTGCAGCCTGTTTTTATTCTACTTCCCAGTCTAGCCACTGGGAAGAGGAAGAGTAAGGAAAAGGTCCTTTAAATGCTGGAGATAGATCAGGAATCCTTCCGCATGTAAACAGAGGACCAATTCTGGGTCTAAACCCTTACCTTGACTTTGCCATCAGCGGATTCATAGATCAGGAGGTAGCCTGTGACAGAGGCCTGGGGTGGCTTCCACGTGAGCAGGGCTGTTTCAAACTGGACATCAGAAGCAGTCAGGGCTTTTGGAGCATCAAGACCTAATATGGTGAGATGGAATACAGGAGTCAGATCGATGGAATGCCATCAGTACTAATCTAGCTGGAAATGTTTCATCAAGATTTGGTGAAATAGAGATGCTGTGGCAAGTGTTACTTCCTTGCAGTTTTGCTAACGTGCTAGGGTCTTGCTACTTTGAAAGCCCTCCAAATTGATGAGAGGTTCTAAAGTAGAAGACAATGCCTGACCCCATACTGCAATCTTCTTGTAATACTTTCTTCCTAATGAAACGGTGAGTTTTGCAGACTGTCTAGGAAGTTTCCATCAGAAGACCTGGAGCTTTTTGGCTTCCTGAAAGTGTCTGCATTCCATTTATATCTTTCTTTACTTGTCTGGGAGCTTCCTGAATAGGAAGCTAATGTGGGACATGGAAAACTGGATTAGATATCATAACTTGATCCAACCACAGGGATCTCTGGAAGTTAGTAAGTGGGACAAAGACCAGTCAGGTTACCTGTAGTGAATTTGGTAGAAAGGGTCCTGCTTTTCTGTAGGCCTTTGATGGCTTGGATCCCGAGGGTATATTCAGTCGCTGGTCGAAGGCCAAGGAGATTGTACTCCACTGTGTTGCCGGACACCCTCTGCATCACTTCTGTCTCTAAATGACCAAGAAGGATAAATCTGTGATAACTGAGCGAAGCGTGAATTGTTCCTCCTGCTTTGCTTATTCTAAGAGGCAAGCATTTTGGTGTGGTTGTGGATGCTGACAAAGTCCATATATGTATGCATATTTATATTAACTTATATATGCATATTTATATTCACTTACTTTTTCAGCTTTATATCATTGTTTTCTGGCATTATGGCTATAATAAAGTTACCTGATTTGATCTGATCCTCAGTTTTCACTGGATACCCCATTCCCAGGACTGCTTCACAGAGTCGCTGGGCAACTGGGAATAGCCATAGCCTTGCTCCAGAGGAACCAGAACTTACCTCCCTCTGCAATGTAGGAAATCAGGTATTCATCCACTGCAGCGAGGGCTGGTTGCCAAACAGCTAAGGCTTTGGAATCTGTGATGTTCACTACCCTCAGCCCAGATGGACTATCCAATTCTAGAAAGAGAGACCGAGCAATATTATTACAATAAATAACAGCTTCCGGGTTGAGCACATGGCTGCCAGTTCTGACCCCAATGCACATATTCTTTGGTGGGTTGGACAAATATCGTCAATAAATAAAGTCCTAGAGATATGCAGAACTCTGGGGCCAATATGGCCGATATGAATGATTGATTAAGTGTCATCAAGTCATTTTCAACTCCTAGCGGCCAAGTAGGTAGATTTTCTCCATGACAGTCTATCCCTAACCAGTTCTTTCAAGTCTCCCAGTGGTGCACTCATTGCCACTGTGAGATGACCAATACATATGACCTGCTGTTAAATAAGATTCTCTATATTGTACCTATATTGTTGCTTTGATTTAGAGGAAGGGCAACTTAATCCTGTCTACCATTTTCTAATCTAAATCTCCCACTGCCATTCTTTGTTTTTGGCCTCAAGTTTGGGGTGGAGGGGAAAGAAACATAGGAGCCCAGTACAAGAGCAGGAGTTTGGAAGACAGCATGAGGCAGAGCGTAGGCTAAATAAATCGTCCAGTTCTACTTTTGTTGATTAAATTGGCAAGCCTTCCCACTACAAGTGCATTAAAGTTGCCATCTTCTGAAGGCTTACTGGAGACAAGGTGGGGTGAATGTTGAATTTCAGATTTATTCCTTTTTTCCCTTGCCCAAATTAGGGCACGTTTGACCCATTTTAACACCAGTTTGTAGAAGTTTTTAATAGGCACATTTATCTTGGACGTATGGATTTTCTGTCCGTGTGTTTTTGCAAGCATTTTCCACTAAATACAATTTTTTTCCCTCAAATATTTTCCCTAATATATGCATTCTGGGACACGCATTTTTCTTAATATATCCGTTTTTAATTTGAGAGCGGCTTTGTAAAACCCTGGCAATTA